GTCAGGTCTCCTCTTGAGGCAAACACCTGAGGGAGGCCCAGTTGGGGGAGTACAAGCTGAGTCGACCCCACAGCCATCTCCTGGGTAAAGGTTAAAAACCCAGGCTGTGGACGCCACACCAGCTGCACACTTGTGGCACTATCCCCCTGCCCAGGGATCTTCCGCCCATGACCCACTGCATCACCAGGCCACCGCAGACACCACAACCCTCTCTACCTCTGCCAAGCTCAGAATCAGCAGGTTCCCTGGAGTGGTGGGTCTCCTGGGACCCAACCTGTGGATCGGATTGCCTCTAAGGGAGCGGGGAGGGCAAGCCAACAGGGCCCCCGCCGGGGCTAAGGAACGCAGGCAAGGCACAGTACCAGTGATTGGAGCGGGGGTACCCCGAGGCCCAGGAATAGGTATGACGATGTCTCTCGCCGTCCCTTTCCCGCTTCCCTAAGCACTGCTGCTAATGCACCTGGCTAATGGCATCTCGGCTGGCCCTTACTCTTAAGTGCCATCTACTGGATCATGGCATGAATTACACCACCAACCGAAATAAATTTGTTGGGCAGGTAAGGACTGCGAAACCTAATGCAGGAAGCTAGCCACGATTAAGGAATCCCCACCGAGCCTTTGGCCTTTGAAAGCACCCAGAAATGAAGGCAATCGACTATACAAAACATGCAACACAGTCAAACCCTCAAGCGGAAAAAAGAATATAAAAACAAAAAGCCCCACTCAATCAACAGCAACTTCAAAAAGACAGAGAAACACTAGCCCTCTCAGATGATAAGGAATCAGTACAAGAACTTCAGCAGTTCAAAAAGTCAGAGTGTTTCCTTACCCACAAAGGATCGCCCCAGCTCCCCAGCAATGTATCCTAACCAGATTGAAATATCTGAAATGACAGGCATAGAATATAGAATCTGAATGGCAAGGGAGCTCAACCAGATTCAAGAGGAAGTTGAAACCCAAACTAAGAAAGGCAGTGAAATAATCCAAGAGTTGAAAGACAACATAGCTATTTTAAAAAGAATCAAACTGAGCCTCTGGAATTGAAAAATTTACTACAGGAATTTGAAAATACAATGGAAAGCCTTAACAACAGAGCAAACCAAATTGAGAAAACAATTTCAGACCTCAACAACTCAACAAGCAAAAAAGAAAAAAACTCCATTAAATAGTGGGCAAAGGACCTGAGCAGTACTTCTCAAAAGAAGACGTGCAAGTGGCCAACAAACATATGAAAAAATGCTCAACATCAGGAATCAAAATGCAAATCTAAACCACAGCCAGGTACCATCTCACACCAGTCAGAATGGCTATTATTAAAAACCCAAAAAGTAATAAATGCTGGTGAGGCGATAGAGAAAAGACAATGCTTATATACTGTTGGCAGGAATGTAAATGAGTTCATCCTCTGTGGAAAGCAGTTTGAAGATTTCCCAAAAAACTTAAAAAAAAAAAAACAACTACCACTTAACCCAGCAATCCCACTACCAGGCATATACCCAAAGGAAAATAAGTCTTTCTACAAAAAAAAAAAAAAAAAAAAAAAGACACATGCACTTAGGTGTTCATCCCAGCACTATTTACAATAGCAAAGACATGAAATACAGCTAGGTACCCATCAATGGAGGATTGAATAAAGAAAATATGGTACATACACACCATGGAATACTACACAGCCATATAAAAGAATGAAATCCTGTGCTTAGCAGCAACATGGATGCAGTTGTAGGTCATTATCCTAAGCAGATTAATACAGAAACAGAACACCAAATACTGCATGTTCTCACTTAGAAGTGAGCACTAAACATTGGGACACATGGACATAAAGATGGGAATAATAGACACTGAAGACTACTGCATAGTGGGGAGTCTTAATTTTTGTATTTTTAGTAGAAACAGGGTTTCATCATGTTGGTGAGGATGGTCTTGAATGCCTTAGCTCAGGCCATCTGCCCACCTCAGCCTCCCAAAGTGCTGGGATAACAGGCTTGAGCCAATGTACCCAGCCTGGATCCTGCTTTTTAATCCAATCTGATTCCCTGCCTTTTATGTGTAGTATTTAATCCACCTACATTTAATGTATAAGGAGGGAGGCAAGAGTTGAAAAACTATTGGCTACTATGCTCACTACCAGGGTGTTAAGATCATTCCAATGCCAAACCTCAGCATCATGCAATATGCCCATGTAACAAACCTGCACATGTACCCCTTGAATCTAAAGTAAAAGCTGAATTAAAAAAAAAATAAACCCTTTAAATTTGTTATTACTTTGTGGCGCAGTATGTAGTCTATCCTGGATAATATTCCACATGTGCTTGAAAAGAATATGTATTCTGTTGCTGGATGGAGTATTGGATAGAGGTCTATTAGGTCAAGTTGGTTAATAGTGTCTTTAAAGTCTTTAATATCCTTGCTGGTTTTGCCTATTTATTCTATCCATTATTGACAGTGGAGTCTTGAAACATCCAATTATTATTATATTGTCCATTTCACCCTTCAGTTTTTTTGTTGTTGTTGTTTGTTTCATATCTTTTTGGATCTCTCTTCTTAAATGCATGGATGTTTGGCATTATTAAAGCCTCCTGCTGAATTGACCTTTATATCATTACAAAATCTCCCTCTTTGTCTGAAGTAAACTTCTTTGTCCCAAAGTCTGTTTTTTTCTGATATTAATATGGTCATTCCAGCTCCCTTACTGTGTGCATGGGGTATATTTTTCCATCCTTTTATTTTCAATCTCTTTGTATTTTTCAATCAAAAGTGTGTGTCTTAAAGAAACCCATATCATATAATTGGATTCTGCAGATCCTGCTTTTTTTTTTTTTTGAGAAAGCCTCGCTCTGTTGCCCAGGCTGGAGTGCAGTGGCATGATCTCAGCTCACTGCCACCTCTGCCTCCTGGGTTCAAGCAATTCTCCTGCCTCAGCCTCCCAAGTAGCTGGGATTACAGGCACCCACCACCAAGCCCAGCTGATTTTCATACTTTTAGCAGAGATGGGGTTTCACCGTGTTGGCGAAATTGGTCTCAAACTTCTGACCTCAGGTTATCCTGACCTTGGCCTCCCAAAGTGCTGGGATTACAGGTGGGAGCCACTGTGCCTGGCCTGGAGCCTGCTTTTTAATCCAATCTGAATCCCTGCCTTTTATTTGTAGTGTTTAATCCACCCACATTTAATGCAGTTATTGAAATGGTAGGAGTTACATCTGCGGTTTTGCAATTTGTTTTCTATATATTTGATTTATTTTTGTTCCTCTATTACTGCTATCTGTTGTGTTATATAGTTTCAAATGTAGCATTTAAACTCCTTTATTAGCTTTTGATTTAAAAGTAGACTTTAAGCTGAGCACAGTGGTTCATGCCTATAATCCCAGCATTTAGGGGAGGCTGAGGCAGGCGGATCTCTTGAGGCCAGGAGTTCAAGACCAGCCTGGGCAACATGGCGAAACCCCATCTCTACTAAAAATATAAAAATTAGCCAGGCACGTGCCACATGCCTGTAATGCCAGCTACTCGGGAGGCTGAGGTAGGAAAATCACTTGACTCAGAAGGCAAAGGTCGCAGTGAGCCGAGATCATGCCACTGCACTCCAGCCTGGGTGACAGAGTGAGACTCCATCTCAAAATAAATAAAATAAATAAATAAAAATAAACATAGACTTTTTTTTTTAGACCATTTTTAGGTTTACAGCAAAATTGTGCAGAAGGTACAGAGATTTCCCATATACTGAAGTTTTTTACTACATATTTTAAAGTTTTTGTTCAAGTGTTGGCTATGGTCATTGCATAAAATCTGTATCTTAATCTAAACCTAACAAGTTCAGATTAATATTAACTTAATTCCAATCGTTTACAAAAACTTAGTTTCTATATAACTCTTTTCCCATTACAAACTCATTAACACAGACTTGTAAGTATTTTATTTTTTATTTTTTATTTCTATTTTTTTTTTGAGACAGAGTCTCACTCTCTCACCCAGGCTGAAGTGCAGTGGTTTAATCTCAGCTCACTGCAACCTCTGCCTCGTCAGTTCAAGCGATTCTCCAGCCTCAGCCTCCCGAGTAGGTGGGATTACAGGTGTGCGCCACTGCGCCCAGCTAATTTTTGTATTTTTAGTAGAGACAGTGTTTCACCATGTTGGCCAGGCTGGTCCTGAACTCCTGGCCTCAGGTGATCTGTCCACCTCAGCCTCCCAAAGTACTGAGATTACAGGAGTGAGCCACTGCACCCAGCCATAAATATTAAACAGTAGTCTTTAAAATTAGTTAAGAGAAGAAATAATTTATATAATGTGTTTTATATTTACTCGATTACTTTTACTGGTGTTCTTTATTTTTTCATGTACATTTGAATTACTCTCTAATGTTCTTTTCTTTTAAACCTGAGGTGATAAACTTCAGTATTTCTTATAGGGCAGAACCGCTGGTATTTCATTCTTTGTCATTGATTAGTAGTGTTCCATGATGGATGCAGTACAGTTTGTTTAACTATTCATTAACTGGAGGGCATATTGATTGGTTCCAGTGTTTGGCTCTATAATAAAATGCTATATATATAGTCTTATATAGTAACATATATAATCATATGAAATATAGCTTATATATCATGATATAATTTATTTATTTATTTATTTATTTATTTTTTTGAGACGGGGTTTCGCTCTTGTTACCCAGGCTGGAGTGCAATGGCGCGATCTCGGCTCACCACAACCTCCGCCCCCTGGGTTCAAGCAATTCTCCTGCCTCAGCCTCCTGAGTAGCTGGGACTACAGGCACACGCCACCATGCCCAGCTAATTTTTGTATTTTTAGTAGAGACGGGGTTTCACCATGTTGACCAGAATGGTCTCGATCTCTTGACCTCGTGATCCACCCGCCTCGGCCTCCCAAAGTGCTGGGATTACAGGCTTGAGCCACCGCGCCCGGTGATATAATTTATTATATAGAATAAAGCTCATCTGAACAAGCATGTACAAGCTTTAATATGGATGTCAATATTCATTTCTCAGTTTCTAAGGATCATGTCTGCGAGTCAGGATTCCCGATCCAGAGACAATGGCCCTGATGGGATAGAGCCCGAATGCATCATCGAGAGTAACTGGAATGAGATTGTTGACAGCTTTGATGACATGAACCTCTCGGAGTCCCTTCTCCGTGGCATCTACACCTATGGTTTTGAGAAGCCCTCTGCCATCCAGCAGCAAGCCATTCTGCCTTGTATCAAGGGTTATGATGTGACTGCTCAAACCCAGTCTGGGACTGGGAAAATGGCTACATTTGCCATATCGATTCTGCAGCAGATTGAATTAGATCTAAAGGCCACCCAGGCCTTGGTCTTAGCACCCGCTCAAGAATTGGCTCAGCAGATACAGAAGGTGGTCATGGCACTAGGAGACTACATGGGTGCCTCCTGTCACGCCTGTATTGGGGGCACCAATGTTCGTGCTGAGGTGCAGAAACTGCAGATGGAAGCTCCCCATATCATCGTAGGAACCCCTGGCCATGTGTTCGATATGCTTAACTGGAGATACCTGTCTCCCAAAAACATCAAAATGTTTGTACTGGACGAAGCTGATGAAATGTTAAGCCGTTGATTCAAGGGCCAGATCTATGACATATTCCAAGAGCTCCACAGCAACACCCAGGTAGTTTTGCTGTCAGCTACGATGCCTTCTGATGTGCTTGAGGTGACCAAGAAGTTCATGAGGGACCCCATTCGGATTCTTGTCAAGAAGGAAGAGTTGACCCCGGATAGTATCCGCCAGTTCTACATCAATGTGGAATGAGAGGAATGGAAGCCGGACACACTGTGTGACTTGTATGAAACCCTGACCATCACCCAGGCAGTCATCTTCATCAACACCCAAAGGAAGGTGGCCTGGCTCACTGAGAAGATGCATGCTCGAGATTTCACTGTCTCTGCTATGCATGGAGATACGGACCAAAAGGAACGAGATGTGATCATGAGGGATTTTCGTTCTGGCTCTAGCAGAGTTTCGATGACCACAGACCTGCTGGCCAGAGGCATCAATGTGCAGCAGGTTTCTCTAGTCATCAACTGTGACCTTCTCACCAACAGGGAAAACTATATCCACAGAATTGGTCAAGTAGTGTTCCATGATGGATGCAGTTTGGCCGTAAGGGCGTGGCTATTAACATGGTGACAGAAGAAGACAAATGGCCTCTTCGAGACACAGAGACCTTCTACAACACCTGCATTGAGGAAACGCCCCTCAGTGTTGCTGACCCCATCTGAGGGGCTGTCCCGCCACCAAGCCCCAGCCTGAGTTCAGTCTTGGGGGGCTGAGGAGTAGCAGGAGCGGGGAGGGAAGGGAGCCAACGGATGGACAGCTTGTCATTTTTTTTTTTTTTAAATAAATGTCACTTTTTGAGGCAAGAAAAAAAAATGTATTCATTTCTCAGGGATAAATATCCTGGTGAAAGGTTGATGGATTGTATAGAAAATGCATGTTTAGTTTTTAACAATTATCAAACTATTTCCCAGAGTACTTGTATTATTTTGTATTCCCATGAGCATTGTGGGAGAGATCCAGTTGCTCCGTGTCCTTGCCAATATTTGGTACTATTTATTTTTATTTGAGCTATTCTAATGGGTATGCTGTATCTCATCATGGTCTTATTTTGCTTTTCCCTAATGGCTAGTGATATTGAATATCATTGTGATTTTTATAGCTTATTTTATGAGATGTCTCTGTGTATTTTTCCAATTTTCCAATTTGATTTTTTATTAAGTTTGAGACTTCTTTATAATTCTAGATGAGTCCTTTGATATATGGTTTGAAAATATTTCCTCAAGATCTGTAGCTTGCTTTTTTGGCCTCTGACCTTCCGCAGAGCAAAAGTTTTAAATTTTGATGATGTCAGTTTACTAATTTTTTTCTTTTATGGCTCAAGCCCTTGGTATTATGTGTAAAATATGTTCACCAAATCATAGGTCCACAAAGTTTTCTCCTATGCTTTTTCCTAAAAGTTTTATGGTCTTACGGTTTAAGTTTAAACATATGATGTATTTTGAGTTAATTTTAGTATAAAATGGAAGGTTGAGGTTGAGTTTCAGGGTTTTTTAAAATATAGCTAGCTAAATGCTTCATCACCATTTACTTGGAAGACTAAACGCTTTTACACTTTCATTTTAAATCAATTACCCATACTGCATGAGTCTACTGATAGTTTGTTTATTCTGTTCTATTGATCCACCCGTCATCCTTACACGAACGCTACGCAGTCTTGTTTTAAGGTACAGTACTTTTTCCCAATTTATTCTTTTAAAAACGTAATTGCTTCAGCTATTCTAGTTTCTTTAACTTTTCCTTTAAATTTTAGAATAATCTTGTCTATATCTGTTAAAAATCTTTCTGGGATTTTGATGAAAAATGCATTAAATCTACATATATCAATTCAGAGAGAATTGACATAACTATATTGATTAATCAAGAAACATATGTTCTTAATTGTTATGGATAGGGCTACTGAAATGATCTATTTTAGATTAGGTGAGTTGTGACAGTTTGTGCTTTTCAAGAAATTGGTCCATTTCATCTAAGTTGTCAAGTTTATACCTGTAGAATTATTTTTTGTATTTTCTTACTATCCATTTGATATTGGCAGAGTCTCTAATGATATCCCCTTTTTCATTCCGGCATTAGTAATTTTTGTAATCTCTCTTTGTCAGTCTTACTAGATGTCTATCAGTCTTACTGATCATTGACAAATCAGACAAAAACAAGCAATGGGAAAAGGATTTCCTGTTTAATAAATGGTGTTGGGAGAACTGGCCAGCCATTTACAGGAATCAGAAACGACCCCTTCCTGACACCTTACGCTACAATTAACTCCACAAGGATTAAAGACTTAAACATAAGACCTAACACCATAAAAACCCTCGAAGAAAATCTAGGCAAAACCATTCAGGACATAGGCATAGGCAAGGACTTCATGACCAAAACACCAAAAGCATCGGCAACAGAAGCCAAAATTGACAAATGGGATCTAACTGAACTCCACAGTTTCTGCATGGCAAAAGAAACAATCATTAGAGTGAACTGGAAACCAAAAGAATGGGAAAAAAACTTGCAATCTACCCATCTGACAAAGGGCTAATATCCAGAATCTACAAAGAAAACAGATTTACAAGAAAAAGAAAAAAAAAACCATTCAAAAGAGGGCAAAGGATATGAACAGACACTTTTCAAAAGAAGAAATATATGAGGCCAACATACATATGAAAAAATGCTCATCATCACTGGTCATTAGAGAAATGCAAATTAAAACCACATTGAGATACCATCTCACACCCGTTAGAATGTCGATCATTAAAAAATCTGGAGACAACAGATGCTGGAGAGGATGTGGAGAAACAGGAACACCTTTACATTGCTGATGGGAGTATATATTAGTTCAACCATTGTGGAAGATAGTGTGGTGATTCCTCAAGGACCTAGAAATAGAAATTCCATTTGGCCCAGCAATCCCATTACTCGGTATGTATCCAAAGGAGTATAAATTGTTCTATTATAAAGACACATGCACACGTATATTCATTGCGGCACTGTTTACAATAGCAAAGACCTGGAACCAACCCAAATGCCCATCAATGATAGACTGGACAAGGAAAATGTGGCACGTATACACCATGGAATACCTGCAGCCATAAAAGACGATGAGTTTGTGTCCTTTGTAGGAACATGGATGAATCTGGAAACCATCATTCTCAGCAAACTGACACAGGAACAGAAAATCAAACACTGCATGTTCTCACTCATAGGCAAGTGTTAAACAGTGAGAACACATGGACACGGAGGGGAGCATCACACACTGGGGTCTGTTGTGGGGGGCTAGGAGAGGGGCAGCGGGGGAATGGGGAGGTTGGGGAGGGATAACATGGGGAGAAATGCCAGATATAGGTGACGGGGGGATGGAGGCAGCAAACCACATTGCCATGTATGTACCTACGCAACAATCCTGCATGATCTGCACATGTACCCCAGAACCTAAAGTATAATAAAAAAAAAATGTGTGTGTGTGTGTGTGTGTGTGTGTGTGTGTGTGTGTGTATACATAAATAGGTGGAGTGCTGAATTTTGCTTCTCATGACTGATTTACACTAAGGAAAAAATACAGTAGAATTCACCAGCCCACACATCCAAAACCCAGTCACCAAACACAGACCTCTCCCCTATTTTTCTATAGAAAATAGGGGAGCCAAGCTTCATTTAAGGACAATCCACCAGGAAAACAATTTCAGATGCAAATGAATGAGCTCTCAAGATTCCTAGAACTGGGGATTATTATGCCACAGTCTAGCATATGTTTGTTGTTTATGGTAAAGAGAAGGAAGAGATGAATTAAAATTTTAAAATAATCCAGAAATATCATTCTACTCAGTTCCAAGTTTGTCTTTCTCCCAACCTTTTACTGGAGCTACTTACTGGGAAATTGAATAGTCTAAGTTTGATGTTTTCTTCTGTATTATCTTTATTTGCTCTCTGAGAGATAAAACTAGTCACTGGCAGCACAAAGGATAAAAAGAACAAGATAGAGAGGGGGATGCTCCCAGGTTTGAGAGGGTGTAGGATGAAGTCACTTCTGAAGCTTCTAGAGTGGTGTTCTGTCATCATTTCCCCAAATTATCAGAAGTTTCTTACACAAAATGGGATACTCAGTGGATTTGTTCTCTATTGGTACCATAACCAATTACCACAAACTTAGCTGTTTAAACACCCATTAATTATCTCACCATTCTGTGGGTCAGAAGTTCAGGTGTGGCGTGACTCAGCTGGGTCCTCTGCTGAAAACAAGGTGTCAGTTGGAGACTTCGCAGAAGATTCTACTTCGAAGTTTATTCAAGTTTCTGGCAAAATTCAGTTTCTTGTGATTCTACAATCACCAAGGTTACCTTTTCTTTAACAGCGGCCCCCTTCATCTTCAAGCCAACAATGACATGTCAAATCCTGCTTGTGATCTGAATCTTTGACTTCATCTTCAGCCCGAGAAAGATCTCTGCTTTTAAGGGCTTACGTGATTATCCCTTAAAAGGGCCCGTCAAGTAAGCCAAGATAATCTGTATTTTAAAGTCATGTGACTAGTAACATGAGTTACATCTGCAATTTTCTTCTGTTAGGTAACGCAACATATTTATTCGAGTAACACTAGAGGGTAGAGGTCATTGAGGCTACCACACACTTGGTAAAGCAGAATTTGGTATGATGACTTTTCTCATGGAAGACAGAAGCTGGAAGAAAAAGCCTGGGGCTCTACTATAAGTCACCAACTGGTGTTTTTGCAATATCAGTACTGACTAGATTTCCTTCCTTACATCTGAAAAAAAGTTGTCTAGAGTGCATATGGATTAAGGAGAGAGAAAAATTCCTCGGCTAAGAGACTTTATGTACTGGTGGGGGTGGGAAGCAGCCAAGCAAGCTAATAGATAAGTGATATGCATAACAAGAAAACACAGGGTTAGAGAATCAGTGAGGGGGAACACACAACCCTATTCTCAGAGTCAAACTACACAATCAAGAAGAGATGTCAGCTCATCCAAGAACTAAAGGATGAGTAAAAGTTAATCAGCTCTCCTGACATCTGTCATCAGATCACATGATTATTTTATTTGTCTCCCAGTATTCATTAAAGTTGAGAATTCAAAGAAGTAGAAAATCAAACACTGGTCATTGAATTCACGTTTTCAAATTTTTCCAAGCACCCTGAATTACCAAGGCTGTTCTTTTTGTTCTTCTTGGTCATTTACCTGATATCTCTCCTGGGAAATGCAATCAGCGTCAGTCCTAGCCCTCTATCCTCCAATGGGTTATTTTCTTAGTAACTACCATCATGCCGGTCATGATGGTGAAATGAACTTCTTCCAGGAGAGGAAGACCATCTCTTACGAGGGCTGGCTTTCCCAGATCTTCCTTGTGGCATGAAACAGCACTGAGGGGGTTTTGCTGGCTGCCACGGCTTATGACCACTGGGTAGCCATTTGCCACACTCTTCAATATAAGCTCCTAATGAGTGGGAAGGTTTGTGTTTGGTGACTGGGTTTTGGATGTGTGGGCTGGTGAATTCTGGGACACACACGGCACTGACAGCCACACTCATTCTGTCTGAACCCAACGCCATCAGCCACTTTCTCTGTGCCATCCCATTGCTCCTGAAGCTCTCCTGCTCATACACCTCTGTCAAGGAGTCCGTGCTCCACGTGGCCCGGGCCACCACTGGCCTGAGTGCTGCCTGTTGACTGCACTGTCCTACAGATCATCTCTACCACCATTAGGATTCCCTCTGCTCAGGGCAGGAGCAAGGCCTGCTCTACCTGTGCCTTCCACCTCGGATTGTCTTCTTTAGAACAGACCACTTCAACTATGACAGGCCCGATGAAGGGTGCTCCCTGGACACAGACTTCCCCGTCTCTGTGCTCTTTTGTGCTGTGACCCAATGTTGAACCCCATCATCTACAGCCTGGGAAACAAGGAGCTCAAGCAGTGAGGAAACTGACAGGCAAACACGAGTTCTCTAGTGAGGTCAGCGACTAGATTATGTTTCCCATTCTGGAAAATGTCTTTTTTTTTTTTTTTTTTTTTTTTTTTGAGAAGAAGTTTTGCTCTTGTTACCCAGGCTG